TGAGCTTCTACGTGCACGAACCATGAAGGAGGATCGTGAAGCCAAAAATCCGGCAATTTAAGCGCCACAGCAGTGTGGAGCCACCTGGTGGTCCGCCACACTATCACAGAAATCCGTTTAGACAGAAATTGTATCGGGGAAACAACCTGTCAGTGGAAGAAGACGCTGAGGAAGAATAAGAAAGTGTGGCAGTGAAGCAAGGATAAGAAAAACAGGATATGGCAAAGACGCCAACAAATGCAGGGGATGCAGCATACATTGCATGAGAAAGCGTTTGCTATGAGGCGTGACAGGAAGTCCAGTAACCTACAGAATACTATTGCACTATGTTTGGTTTCCACAGCACATGATTTTTGGTTGTGATATTCTACGTGTTTTAGTAAAAATTATGTTTTAGTAAAAATGGGTATTAGATTTATGACATGAGCAGACAACTCTAAGAGTCCACTGACAGAATATATTAACATTTTGACCACGCTTGTTTAGACAATATGACAAAAAGAATTAAAGATTTGAATGAGTGAGTGTTTTGCTGTGTGAGCTGTAATTAAATGTATCTTCGGAGTTGCACGAAATGCGTTGTAGAAAATCCGAAGTTTTAATTAGTGCTGGCTTTGGATTTTTAAAAGAGACTTTTAGATACAATAAATTGCATAGACTAAAACTGGGGTTTTAAAATAAAATAAAAAGCTTTTCCTTCATATTAAACAGAACTTCCTCTCTACGATCACCAGAGAAGTTTGGATTGGTTTGAATGACGAAGAACAGGAGGGAATGTGGAAATGGGTAGATGGGACTCCACTGACTCTGACGTAAGTCTTCACTTTGGTTCAATTCATTCCTTGTACTGAATTTTCAAAAGATATTTGTTAAACACAATGGTGAGCTTACATGTCAGTGGGTGGATCCCAACTGCACGACCAAAAACTTAAAGATGTGTGCTAATAACTTGTTTTGGCCACAGGGGGGTCAGAAGAAGTTCTGAACTGGTGTGTTTTGCCATCTGCAGAATTTATGCAAGTGTGATTAAAAACCACCATGTCCTGAAAAGAAAAACCCCAAAACCCCAAACCTTTTTTTTACTCATCCCCATTGTTATTTGAAATTTGGTGATCCTAACCCCCCCCCACAAACATGCACACACACACACACACACACACAGAGACACACACAGACACACACACAGACACACACCCCCCCAAACATGCAGACACACACACAAACACGCACACACAAGCAACTAACATCTTAAGTTCTTCTTAATAATAATAATAATAAGATAATGTTGTTGCTGACTTGCTAGGTACTGGGGAGGAGATCAGCCTGATAATGGTGGAGAAGAGGACTGTGTTCATCTCGGAGGGGATAAACAAAAATCTTGGAATGATCTTTGGTGTTTATCTTCTTATCAATGGATCTGTGAAAAAGTTCCATAAAACAACTGATTTCAGAAAGATGATCTATTCATAAATGTTTTGCAGTTTTATCTTTGACTACAATAAATACAATTCTGTATTTCAATTTTAGCCTAAAATGACTAGGTATTTGGTTCCTTGGTGTGGTCTTTGTTGTTGCTTTTTTAATATATATGTTATGTATTTTTGCCGCCATGAGGCAAACTTAAAATCCTTTGATTTTCTCAAAAATCGACAGTGCATCTTATAATCCGTTTTGCCTTATGTATGAATTCTGGTTGTGCTTATGTAACAGGGTCATAAATCACATTGTTATAATTACACAAAATGTGTTCTAAACCCCCAAACAGCTCCTTTTATACCTGACTTTTAGGACCTCCAAGCCTGTAGTTATGTTCATTATCAGTTAGAGCCCCTCCTTATTCTTTTCTTCTTCTTCTTTGGTGCAATCCTATAAATACAGTGTACCCCTTTTGCCTCTCCTCTTTTCTACAATTCCCCTGTGGGAGAGGTGGGTGTCATTTCTTTCCAACACCTTAAAACACACATAATTCATATTTAGCCACCCTGATGTTTATGATTGCGATTTTAGTTCAATTATTGTCATTATTAAGCCTGTTTTTGTTAGATGTTATAAGTGTGTAGTATGTGTGTATCATAAATGTGTTTTAGGCGCCATAAATGCTAGCATGAATATATACTCCTTGCTAGCTTGAAAGTTGTGGTGGGTTGAGCTAACCCTCTTCCCCACTGTTTGTATTTGGTCGTAGGAGCTGGAGTGGGCAAATTATTTACTTGGAGGTCTTTCTTTCTTTTACCTTTTTTTTATCAGGTATGTCGGATTTCATGTTGTTGTTTTGTTTTATCTTATGTCAAATATGGTACGTGTTAATGCATACTTTATGTTTAATGTAAAAATAAATGCCACCCTTTTCTACAATTCCCCTGTGGGAGAGGAGCTGGAGTGGGCAAATTATTTACTTGGAGGTCTTTCTTTCTTTTACCTTTTTTATCAGACACAATGCAGAATCACACCGGTTACACTTACTGACCTCGAACCGATTTTATGATGTACACGGTGCTCAAACATCTGTCAAAAAATGCTTTACTACAATTTTGGTAAGCTATGAAGCAGCACCGCTTGATGGATTATCTGAGCATTACGGCTACTGTAGTCTGGAGCCTCGAAGAGTAATCTGGGTCCAAAAACTTTGTCCACTTCAGAGTTTTTGTTTTTCCAAAGTAAAACAAACACCGCAGAATCACTGAGAGTTAAAAACTGTCTAAATTCTTTCATCTTTAATAAAATGATCAG